CCACGGTGCATGCGCGTATCACGTTTTGCTTCGCCGTCGTCGGGGAATGTACGGCGTCGGAGGGGAGGAAAAGGCCGTGGCGCGCCACGCACGATCCAACGACGTGCGATTCATACTGCGATCGGGAGGACTGCCGGGCGCGTCGAAGCTATCGTCAGATTGGTCGGACGACACACGAGTGGAAATACGGCTGGTCCGCGATTGGCCGACTCGGGTATGTTGGGCGCGGCTCTCACAACCGATGGTAGGGTATATTTGAACAAGAGCCGCCGACTCAAGAGTAGCGGAGTACACTCGCTAACCGGCCTCCATCCACAACACGGCACACAGAGAGAGGAGAGAGAAACTCGTTGGTACGCGAGGCGGAGTGTGTGGTGAGAGGTGGTGAGGCGGCTCAAACAGCAGCCCCGCTCGATCAAATAACCGACCGCGCGCGCGACCGACGAGCGGCCGTCACCGTATAGTGGTTGGTGTTGTTTCGCGCACTCGTCCACGTCGTACAACACGCGAGCGAGAGCCTGGGCTCTTTTCCTGTCGTCGGCTTTGCATTCGTCGTGCCCTCCATGGTGTTGGGGTAACAATTACCCCTAACTCTCCCGCGGGGGGGTACTACTCACTTTCGCGCTCGCGTTCGCTCCCGTCTGCTTCGTGTGCATCGAATGCGCATCTTCCCGTGAATAAACGGACTGTGCATTGTGTTCCGGGAAGAAGAGGCATAAGAGGTGAATAAAGTTCACCAGGTACCATCTTGGTATTCGTCGCTCTCTGCTGACGCAGTACGCGTTCCTAACTCCTCCCAAGATTCTATAAAGATACGCTCGTAACTTTTTTTCTCGCGTAGAAAGGAATAGCGTTTCTGCTCCAGGTTGTGACAAAAGAAAAAGTTCCGTCAATACAGTGCCGTTCAGTGCATTATCGCTCTGAGGAAGAATATTCGGTGAAGTTCTTCTTTCTGGTGAAGTTCTTCTTTCTTTAAGTGTGAGGCGAATTCTTCAGGCACTCGTTGCGCATCTCTCCGTGAGTCTTCTGTGCGTATAACAATCATCTCTTGTGATTTGTGACTCGGCAGCGATAGAAGACTAGAATTAGAGAATTCCTTGAGCGCAAGCTGAGCACGCGTATCGACATCAGATTCATCCGGTGGAAAGATTAAGGGAATACCCGACTGTCAGCAGCCGTGGTACCGCGGATTTCATGATTCTCGTTTGACAACGACGACGCGACAGCAGGCCACCCCGGCACCGGTGAGCTCTATGACCATGCTTCAGTCGCAAAAGCTGTATGGCGATGCGGGTGCCATGACCAGTGCCGCAATGTCCAGTATGGGCAGCATGGCGCCCACGTACAGCTCGATAAACTCAATGGGATGCGTGCCGATGGGTATGTCGATGGGAGTCGGAGTCGGGCCCAGCTGCAGTCCTCAGGGCGCTGGAGGTTTTAACATGAGTACCATGAGTTCAGCAATGGGAATGGCGTCGATGGGAGGCGGCGGGATGAGCGGTTACAGCGGTGCTTCCATGGGCGCCGGCGGTGCCTGTATGAGTGCCGTCGGATACGGTCCGTTGACTCCCGGCGGAGGTACCGGCGTCAGCCGGGATCCTCTCGCTCTAACAGAACCGGACTCGCCGAATTCAGCTCTACAGCGTGCCCGCAGCGACAAGTCCTATAGACGTAGTTACACTCACGCGAAGCCACCGTATTCCTATATTAGCCTGATCACCATGGCGATACAGAATGCGCCTCACAAGATGTTGACTCTCTCGGAGATTTATCAATTCATCATGGATCTGTTCCCATTTTACAGACAGAATCAGCAGCGCTGGCAAAACTCTATTAGGCATTCCTTAAGCTTTAACGATTGTTTTGTCAAGGTGCCACGTACACCGGATAAACCTGGCAAAGGATCATTTTGGACGCTGCATCCTGACAGCGGCAATATGTTTGAGAATGGTTGTTATTTACGGCGTCAAAAGAGGTTCAAGGACGAGAAAAAAGAGCTGACCAGACAAAGCAACAAACACCAGCAACATCAGCAGCATCAAGCGACAGCTACGGTAGCGGTGGCAGCTGGCGCGACCATCGCCGGCCAACACAGTCCATCCACTCACGAAGTCGCGCCCGGTTCCAAGAAGACCGGTTCATCCATCCACCATGGCGGCCCTCAGCCGCAAGACGATAAAGATTTGCACTCGTTGGTGTCTTCGCACCATCACCATCACACGAGTCTGCATCAGCATCACACCGCTCTGAAGAGTGACACAGACATTGGTGGTCTTCTCGGACCCGATCTCAGCGCTGCACACGACGAACTCACAGCAATGGTCAGCCGCGGTATTCATCCGCAACTATTGTCCGATACCGCGAGCCTGCATCACGGCATGACAGGCAGTCTGAAGCAGGAACCGCTTTATGGAACGGCAGCCAATCATCCGTTTAGCATCAACAGGTTATTGCCGCGCGATACGGCGGGCACTTCTCCCGGTGCTCAGGACACCAAGCCGCCCGAGATGAAGATGTACGAGCAGCTGCATCAGAGCTACGCTAACTTTGGCTCGCCGCATCATCCGCACGCGCATTCAGCGCCGCCCAGCCATCATCATCACAACGGCATGCACGCCGGTACAAACGCCGCCGGGCCAATGCACATGACGAATCATCATCATCAGGAGTATTATCAGAGTCCGCTTTATCATCACGCGACAAGCGTGGCCACCACCAGCGCTCCTCCGCCACCCGCTGTCGCCACCGCGGCACCGGGCTTGTGACATCACGCTACCCACCCTTACGCTTTGGCCTGAGTCGCTGCCGCCGCGGCTTATGTCGCGACCGCTGCCGCACCGATACCAACACCGATGCCGGATCTGCCCGCGATCACGGCGTCCGCGACCAACGCGGCGCCGACGTCGCCTGCGACATCCTCGACCTTCTCGTCACCGCCACGAGCACAGCCACGTCGACGAACACGTCGTACTGACAACACTGATGATGACGCCGTCGACGCTGTTGTCTGTTGGCCACCCGATGATGACGATGAGTACGACGACGAGAACGAGGACGAGGAGGAGAACATCGGCTACAGACGATAAACTCGCCGAGAGGTAGGCTTCGGGGTATTTCACTGAGAATTATGGTTCATCGTCACGAGGATCGACTTTATTTTATGTTATATTACTGCATAACTGTTGAGCGAAATATTCTAGAGATTATTCTTATTAATTATAAGTAATATGTTTTCACATTACATGTAAAATATATGTAATATAATAGCGATTATTATTATTATTATTTTGATATATTCATACACATATAAGTTGCTTGCCAGAAAATCTAAAAATATTTCCTAAATTATTATTCTCTTTATAAAAAATTTTTGTCATATTCATATCCACACAATTTGTTATTTATTCTTATAAGAAATAGAATAAAAAAATCAATTTATTAGCACAAAGATGGAATTATCTTTTTTACACTATAACTGATGAATATAGATTACATGAAAATTAATTTTTTTACATAAATATGCAGTGCGAAAGGAAGTAAATTTTTATATAATTTGTATTTATATTTTATATTTTTAGTTTATATTTTTATACGTTCATATTGCCATTGACCAAAATTATCCATAAAATTCATTATATTTATAGTTTATCATTTATTGCATTTTCTACGAAGCTGCTTCTAGAATATTTAATAATAAAAGAGAATATGGATATACGAGTTTAAATAAATTTGTAGAATATTATTCACATTCTTAAATATGCCCAAAACTTTAAGGAAGTCACGTATATGTATTATGTTCAGAAAACAAGAAAACAGATAGGGAAATAAATATTTACATGTGTACGATCTATTACATTTGCTTAAACTTATGTCCGTTACTGTGTGTTGTCACTTAAACTGACAATGACTTCGTAAGCATCGTTTCAAGTACAATTGCAAACAACAATTGTGATAGAGGAGATTAAAATCCACTTTAGACGACATCTTTAATTCGTGAAAGAGTACTATTCATAATTTTTTGGCGTACGAACGTAACGAGAATATTTGAGAGTCGAAATACACGGTGTAAAATTGTGAATGGAATTTTGTTCTTATTAAAACATTTTACAATTACGAATGTGTTTCGTGGGAAAGTATTAACGTGACTCTACGTTTTTTTCCTTCTATTTCGAATGTTTGGTTATAACTTATCTTAATGTTATCTTCATTTCATAATCCACCCATTGAATTTATCTGTATCGGGGATAGGTGTTCGGAAGAAGTATTTGAATGACCGAAGGCACTGAATCATCCTGTATTCCATATTCCCAAGTTTATCAAAGCTGAGCAGTTTGATATCATCATACTAGTCCGCTGTATCGCAAGAGAGATTTTTTTATGATACATTTGAGTAACGTCGACATACTCTTAGGCAATTAGACGCCGTGCATTTCGTCGGTACTCTTTCTTGAGATCATCAAGAGATTACGTAATAATCTGATACGTATTTGAGTATTTACGATCGTCCATTTTCGAGTTGAATTTGCAATGTTTCGTTTAACAAAATTAATAATAAAAAGAAAACAAAACTGAAAAGAAACGCAAAAAAGAAGACCAAAAGTATATTTTATATACAATCGTATTAAATAAAATATAATATCGATTCTTCTTGGTTTTATGTCTTCTTGATTTTTATTAACAACAATGATTTATTCAATCATTTCAACATGACTCATCACAATTATGAAATTCAAAATTATTTCGTTTTTCTTCTCATGCTCGTCTTTTTATTACTCATATATAAATAATTCATAATTTTTAATTTTAATTTTAATTAATTTATAATTTTTATAGAAATATAATAATAATAATGTTTATATACAAAATTAAATTTTTCCAATGAAATTATATTATGTCTTTGACATAATACATTTTATATATATATTGAATATTAAATGAACGACATTTTATATAAAAAAAAAAGCGAGATTTTATATATGGAAGATAAGACAATGTGAAACGAAAAAAAAAAGCAAGCAAAGAAGTAAAGAAAACAATTTTGAATATTTTAATTAATATAATAACTTATATGTTATTATTATATAAAGACTAATATTATTCGAATTAAACATTTTCTCTACATTTGCAAATTATTTATTTTCATATTATTCATACAGTTAGGTAATACAACTCATCAGAGTGCAAACAGTGTTGACTTCTCGTTATTAGCTATCGTTTGCTTCCCTTTATCATGAAAGGCAGAAAGATTTTATACCTCATTGAGTCGTGTAATCGCTGGTAATTATTATCAACAATCCCTCAACTACACGATATTGCCTTAATTGATAATCTTACAAATTTGTTGAACAATACCGATATGACGCATAATATCGATTTTAAAACGAATTAATATAACACGTATCGAAGATTTCATCGGAACCATTTGTGTGGATGTGATGATGTCTTTATTAAATCAATCATTAATTATAAATCATTAATGATCAATCATCAAATCTGATTTTTATTTTTTATGTACTTATTGTTTTGTAATTGTTTTTTATTAGGAACGATAAGCGTGAAAATCTCTGACTTACATGTCGATGTTGGCACTCGTAAATTTTTTTAATTAAGTTAATCTGTCTCATATATCATTTTTTTCTTTCTTCAATTTCGCAATCGAACTATCAAATTACATAAAATACAATCATAAGAGAATAATAAAGTAATAATGTTGTGTATGTTCTTTCTTGCAAACTCGGTTCCATGTGGAAAGATTTGAGCTTTTGATATTCCCAACAGTCATACATCTCGTATCCATGAGAATCGCCTAAGGGAAATAAAAAATCGCAAGCAATTCATTATATACGATGCTTATTACGATTGCATGAGCCTCGCGGCGATGAACCGATCGGTACTTGAATATCATTGACTAATATTAAAGGCGCACCCTGTTGAAAGGGGCGCGTTGTTGCGGCAAGGGAGTGGCGTAAGCTTCGACAAGCAGTGCCAGCGAAAAAGTGAGAGCGGTGTCGGCAAAACTTGTGATACTATACGTGAAAATAAATATAAATTAATGAATGTACGCATCGCGCGAGAGAGAGAGGGCACGTATAAAAATATATATATATATA